TGGATTCCATCCTGCTCCTCGACGGCTTCGAGCACGCGTTCGCGGCGAACGCGGCGTCGGCCGGCGACGGCCTCGTCGAGCTCGCGGCGCCGCTGTCCAAGGCGCTGGACGCGCTCGGCGCCTACCCGGGCGTCGTGCTCCTCGTCGCCCACGTCGAGGACCTGTCGACGCTGCGCTTCGCGCCGTCCTTCGCGCGGCGCCTCGCGCTCGCGCTGCCGTTGGCGACGCCGGGCGCGAAGCTCCGCGCCAAGCTCTGGCGCGCGGTGCTCCCGCCGGCGTGCCCGCTCGCCGGCGACGTCGACTTCGCGCGCCTCGGGGCGAAGCACGAGCTCCTGCCCGCGTCCATACGCCGCGCGGCGCTCCTCGCGGCCGCGGCCGCCGCGAAGCGCGGCGCGGCCGAGATCGGCCACGCGGACCTCCACGGCGCCGCGGAGCGCGAGGTGACGCGGCTCCGCGGCGACGGCGCCAACTTCGACCGCCTCTTCGTCTAGCGGGGGGGGGTAAGGTGTTAAGGGGCGTGCGCGGGCAGGCCTGCACTGCCACTTGCCGAGGCCTTGCCTCAGAGGCTTGGCGTTCCCTCGGCTGCGTGATTTGTGAACGGTCACGTCATGGTCGAGGCAGCGGCGCTCGGGGAACTAGCCGGCGTTCACGACGAACAGTTTGTGAAGCATCACACTGAAAGATCACTGAGCTTGACGAGCATTAGCTCAACTGCTCGTCCGTCGGCCTTCGCGAATATCGACATTCGCCGCGCGCGAGCCCCACCCGCGACCGTCATCAGCCCTCGGGGGCCTCACGGACACGCACGCTCCGCCGCCGGCCTTCCGCGGGACATCAACCCCCTGCTCCGTCGACGCCGAACACGAATTTCTGCGGCGAAAGAAAACGAGCAGTAGGCGAACCGCCGCGTCTCTTCAACGCCCCACGCCGAGGCCTCGAGGCGTCGTCGAGACCTCGGCGCTCTGCTTCGAGGACTTGGCCGACGCCAGCCTCTGTACTCTCCGCGCGCGCCCCGCCCCCCGCTCGTCGGAACGCGATCCCGCCGACCGGCGACGCCCGCAGGCCGGTGCGACGCAAAAGCTCTCAAGAGACATGAGGCGCATGCTGCCCTGGATGGTCGGGCTCGTTGGCGCCGCGGAGACGGTATCACCGCCTTCTGCGACGCCGGCGCCGGCCGCCGCCGACGCGACGGACGGCGGCTGCAAGCACGTCCACCCGGAGATGATCCCGGGCATGGGGGCCTTCACCTGCGACGACGCGGCGGCCCTGGGCTACTCGTGCGCGGACTTGGGCCAGATCGGCAAGGACTGCGACGGCTGCGCGTGCCCCCTCGACGTCCCGACCTCGAGCCCGACGGCGGGGCCGATCCCGAGCCCGACCTCGCCCCCCGCGCCGAGCCCGACGCCGGCGCCGACCGCCGCCGACGCGACGGACGGCGGCTGCAAGCACGTCCACCCGGAGATGATCCCGGGCATGGGGGCCTTCACCTGCGACGACGCGGCGGCCTTAGGCTACTCGTGCGCGGACCTGGGCCAGATCGGCAAGGACTGCGACGGCTGTGCGTGCCCCCTCGACGTCCCGACCTCGAGCCCGACGGCGGGGCCGATCCCGAGCCCGACGCCGGCGCCAGCCGCGGTCGACGGCGGCGGGTCGTCTTCCGGCGGTGTCGGCGGCGGCGCAGCG